ATCCATTATGTTGTGGGTACCATGGCCTTAGACTTAGAGGTGCCACCTCCCAAGAAGAGCAACTATTATATGCAGGCTAAAAGCCAAATGCAACATGTGAGTCACAGGTTAGAAACCCCCACACATAATGCTGTAGGTGATTCCAATATCCAATGATTCCAATAGCAGAATATATTTGAGTTGAATACGAAATAACACAACAGGGAACATTTTAAATTCAGCTAACAGGTTTGATAAATAGCATATACTTATTTATTGGCTTGTTTACTCTTTCTTTAATTAATTATTTGAAGTTGTAAACACACATTCACCATAAAGTCGTTATGTGTTATTTATACATACTTATTTTATTTTATGGATTATGGCCTACAGACTGCCATATCATGAAGAGTGGACCTGCCTGAATTCAGAAAAACACATATAACGCAACACAAATATGTAATATAATGATTCTTTCATCAGATCTGTTCTCTTGTTGAAACAGCCTTAAACTACTATGAATATCATTTATGAAGAAAATTATTTCTACAAACAGCTTACACTAATTATAATCAGATAAAACACTGTAGACCTTAACATCAGAGAGTAAGTGTGAAGGATGCCATGTCACAATCTTCTTAAAGATACAATTCTCAATAAGTGAAAGATGAAATCTATGCAATATTCCTTTATTTGAAGTTAACGATAATGCACTAGAATAAAGTGCAGCTGAGAGAAACTGTACTGTGTCCTTAGGGCACGCAGTCAATATCTAGTCTAAGAAAATTAAGAAAATGTAAAGGGAAATTCATAAATCTGGACTTGAATCAAATCCAGCTAATTATCTCAATCTAAGTTCAATAACAGTGAGATGATATGCCCGAGGGGAAATCAAACTCATTGCAGACAGCCACACTGATTTAACAGTGGATGACGCCAACACCGCTGAATTAGAACACATTTAACATCTTTAAAAACAACTTTATAAACACTAGAGAAAGCAAGAGCATTACACATCCACCTACATAATAAAATATTTGAAAGTTGCTACTGGATTGATATTCCATCTTTGATGCATCTTACAGACAAGTCTTCATATTCCCAAACTGATATGCATCTGAGGGGTATCTGGAAGCTAAACATGACAGATGTTTAACTACTCATTAGACGTATATGCGGTGTAGAAAACAAGCAAAGCACTGGAAAGCGTGGGCCAAGACCTCTGGTGCGGCTAACATTTCTATTGGGATATAAATCACAAAGAAGATAATGATGTAGGAAGACATCTGTGAAGGAGTAGGAAGTTCAAAAAGGCTATTCTGTTGTGTGCTGTGTTAAACTATGAAATCACTTAAGACTGCGTGGCCATTCTATTTCTGAAAAGCATTACTGCAAAGAACAGGCCAGGATCATATCAGGATATAACTTTACCACATGCACAAAACAATACAGACTCTGCAGTTCCCCTCAGCCCTACTGAGCATTTAAGCATCTTTCAGCTATTTGTTTTGATTTTATTGCCTGCAACTTTACTGTTTTGGTTCATTCTCTTTCAGCTGCAGCAGGCATCTGTTCTCAGCAAAAAAAGCTTTAAAACCCTGCTGTACAGTATCTGCTTAGCAGACAGCAGACAAGTCACAAGTTGGTGAACACAGCGGAGCATCAGCAACTAAAGAGCCAGCAAGGTGGCCACAATGATAAATGAATACTACTGTTACCCCATACTGTACATTGTTTAACTTGTATGTCTACTAAACCACCCAAAAATCACATCTCTGCTGTAGTCAAAGCAGGGAGACAGAGTCAAATGGAGACCGTTTTCACTCCAGCAGTTCAACTTCTGTCATACTCTTGTAACCTAAGACATGGGAACTCATCTCATCTCCTTGTACCAAAAACAACCCTGGAGGACATAATAGCAGCATGTCTGAAGCATGACAACTATGTGGCTTCCACACCAGCCCTCCCTTTTTTCATGCCTGATTGTCTCGTTCACCCTCTTCCCTTGTCTTGTTTTCTCCTGATAACCTTTGTCTCTCTTCATGCTGTCTCACCCCTATCTCAATCTTCCACTGTCACACACTCCATCATTCTAACCCGCTTTATGCACTACCTCCCCTCCTCCCTCTATTAAGTGAAGCACTGCAGACAAGACGTTGGCTTCTCTATACAATGGCCCCTGTATTCACATTGCTGTTTACCTGTCTGCAGACAGCCCTCACCACATTTAGCAAAGCAGCCCTCTACACAAGGAGGGCAAAAACTCAAACAGCTCCCATTCACAGAGGTCCCTTTGTTCCTCTATACATTGTGCATACTAGAGTGTCATTGTGTAGGACTTGTTAGCACTGAATGCGAATTAGTTGGGTCAATATTCTGGAGCAATACATAAAATAAGGCATTGTTTTTTTTTGTTTTTTTAGAGGTGCATGAATGTGTGACTATCTCATCTGTTTTGCTGAAGCAGATATGTACTGAAGAAACATTCTTTATAGTTTTGTCTCTATACCAGCAAAATAGATTTCAAAGGAAATAACTATTGCAAGGTTAAAGTGCTGACTTTGAGCTTTGAATATGATTGGAGGTGTTCACATCCATATTGGGTGTGCAAATTGAAGGCTTTTTTACCCTTCAGGGATATGGATAAAAAGGGCTAAACTTGTACATGGTTCATTGAACGTGCATGTAAACACTCAAATTAAAGCTGAAAGTCAGCACTATAACCTCTGAGTCATTGTTTCATTTTAAATCCAATGCTCTGGAATACAGAGTCAAAACAAAACTATCCAAATACTCGGAGACCAGACTGTATATGCACCTATGTGAAAATGATGAGCCAATACATATGAATAAGAAAGCTTTCAAAGACTTGAGTGTGTTATATTAGTTTTGCAGGTATGGAAATATTTATGCATGCGTAAGGGAAAAAGGCTGCAATTTTCCCTGTTGTACTGTACATGTAGGCGTGTGTGCAGCCATTTGTGTATACTGTAGGATCAGATAGATGGGAAAGCCCACGCACTGGGGTTCAGGACAAATTGTCTGCCTTTCGTCTCTGCTCCTCTTTAATTACACAACACTGAAATGCAGGGGCTACCTACCTACTGTCCAAATACTGCAAGAGGGGATATCAACAGTGCCGTTTATCATGCAGAGTGCAGACAAAAGTGGAACAGCTAAAATTTTGTCTCTCTCTATGATTCTCACTCTCAGAATAGATACACTGCCCACATCATCAAGAGCACTTCTGTTTAGATGTCAAAAGGGGTTTTTTTGGGATAGAAACGGATGATTAAGTTGTACTGTGGAATTACATTAATAGGCTACAAATGGCTGTAGAAATTACAACCAGTACAGTGCATTCAAAGAGCAGTAAGATAATAATGTTTTTAAATTGTGTTGACTCTAATCCAGCAAACGGAAATTAAACAGTGACTATCAGCTTGAAGTGCTGATAAAATACACTAACACTACTACAGCTACTTCTGTGTTTGGGGGTGTTCTCACCCATATCTTAACAGCATTAAGACACGTGATCCTTTTTATACAAACCTACATACATAGAAAAGATTGAAAAAACTACAGCGATATTAATTATTATGGCTGTAATTTTGCTTGTAATGACAAAAATGATGAATCGATTCTGAAAATAGTTGGATTCTTTTTCTGTTGATAAATCAATTAATCACTGCAGCACTATTAATTATGAACAATCAGCAACACATTATGTAAAAAAAAAAAAGCCCCAATGCAAAATAAGTGAGAATTGGACTGCAAACTGTTTAATTTCAATACAATAAAATATCAACAGGGCATTCAGTAGCTATGTCATGTATATTCAGTATTTCTTTTTTATTGTATTCTTCCTGTTCCCTGTAATTGTTTAGTGAGGACATTTGCAACCGTCTACAAGACAATATAGAGTTTAAGTTCACTCACGATTCATTTGTATTCTTAGATTCAAAGTTACACTGTAGTTCCTTAACGGGATACTAGGCGTATATCTTAATAATGAAATACCTTTCCAGTTTCATCTCCATCCATGTTCTCTGAAGTGGAGGAATGAGCCACGGAGTGAAAATGAAGGGAAGCAAGAAATGAATGCACAACACAATGATGAAGAGAAAAGGAAATATCTAAATATTCATATTATGTATATAAGGACCTTTATCAACCCTCTCCATTTTCTTAGAACAATAACATAGATAGATTGCTGCAGCTCCAAAACATGCATTCACACCATTTAGCATCGCTACCGACACAGACATCTCACTAATAAGACGAAAAACAATGCAGGGAGAAAGGGAGACAAAGAAACAGAGATTTCTTGTCTCTGCTTCGCCAGTGCCACCTGGGGCAGCAATCAACAACCCTTCCACTGCCTATTAGATACTGCTCTCACTGCAATCAGTATCCACTAAGGCATACGCACAAGTTCGACGTTGCACATTAGTTGTCGAGGCTTTCAGTGCGTGTACGTTTTTGTGTGTTTCTCCTGTGTTCAGTCTGTTTCTGTCACAGACCTATTTCACACTTGCAATCCACGATATAAGGAGGATAACACATTGAGATAAGCACTTTAAAATTCATTAGGGGCCCTCATGGGGAAACACATCCAGCTGAGGCTGAATAGAAAGCTCTGCAACGTGTCAGTGGCTAATATTTTTCTTTTGGGGGGTGCCATGTGCTACTGAAAATCACAGGAAGGTTTTATGCAAATATTTATGCACACTTCTCCATATACTGTATCATATTTGTTTTTACTTTTTTGTTGAAAGAAAGAGGGAGTTATCTGTAGAGGCACACAGATAAAAAGATGGGGTAGCTAAAAAATGATGAAAGGAGTAGGTTTTGATACAGATATGAAGGAGGTGAATATGGAGAAAGCAAAGAACAAGAATTTAAAAAACAAAACAAACAAAAACAAACATAAGAGCACAGAAAAGAGTGCAAGGGCAGAAGGGCAAACCGAAAATGGAGAAGGCAAAGACGAAAGCCACAAGGCAGAGATTTGACATTACCTTCAGTGGGGTTGATGGCTCCCGGTAAGCTGTCCCATGGGAGGGTCCAGGCAGGACAAGGATGACGAGCGAAGACTGCCTCGATGCCATTTTCCTAAGGGAGGAACACACACACACACACACACACACACACACATACCAAATACACACGTTACCATAGAAACCTCTCTACAGCCTTGAGGTTCTGTGGTCCAAATGTTAGTAATTAAGTGATTTAAAGAGACCTGTTATTGAACAAACCCTTTGTTACCTTGCCCTCACTGATCTAAAGCTATACCTGTAGAAAAAACACTGCTAGTGCAGTTATTACGGTCTCAAGAGAGAACAAATGTGTCACTAGTACAGGACATAATCTCACAAACAATACACTTTACAGAAATACTAGAAAAGAAAAGAAGAAATGTAGGCGCACAAGGTAAAGCACTGTTTTTTTTCTCTCTTTGATGATAAGAGGTTAGAACAACTATGTGCTAGTTACGTTATTGTTTAAAACAAATTTATCAAGAAATCTCTTTTAGGAAAATCTTTTCTAACAGCTGTGAATTTGCCTTCACATGAACACTAATGAGTATGACCTTATACTTAAAGTGTGAAAGTAGTGTGTGGTGATGCAGGCAAAATATAATTTACATTTTTCCAAGGTATAGTGGTAACTGACAACAACTTCCTTGTTATTCCTTGTTGTTGTTCCTTGTTAAAATTACACTAATGAGAGGCCTAATTTAAGTATTTCCTTACAGTAGAAATATTTTTGGACACTATTTCACTGGTGCAATGGTATTGCAAAATCATTGTCAGTATACTTCCTATCTTAGCATATTGCCAAAGCCTATTCACAACAATGTAAATACAGTTAAATAAATAAATAACTTCAACATATACATTAAGAGACCACAAGAATATTAACCCTTGTATGATGTAATGCAAGGCAACACAACAGCCCTGTACTATTTTCATGGAAATTTTAAAATTTTTGCTGAGGCACACTGGGGCTGAACTGTGTGGTGATTTGCTTACAAATTACACCCTCAAAATTACCCTAGACAGTGAACAACAGCAATTATATTTGTATTGTAGGTTTCACATGGAAGTATATACTGTATACTGCCTTTAAATGGAACTGGAAGTCTTTTTTTCTGACTTCACTGGGTGAAGTGGGTGAAGTGGGTGAAGGTGAGGTATTGCAGAAAATAAACTATGTAAAGCTGGACTTCTCGTGAAAAGCCAGAATTAATACAAACAAATAATTCCACTGACCCACAAGGTGGCTACATTTCTCTAGAAATGGTTAATGTAGGTAAGCCATTAAAATATATGTGCACACATAAAAAGGTACATAACACACCAAATCTCTATACATAGTAAAAAAAAAAGTAGGTAGTCTTAACCTTGATAAAGACAGTCAAAAATAAAATAAAAATCCTTAATATACTTTGACTTATGGCCATAGTAAAATAAAATGAGCAGTGCAAGTGCATAATTCTTGAAACCTTGAAAACCTGTCATGTTCAGTCTGGCTGGTCAGTGACTGAGCACCGTGATTGAGAGTTAGAACCTGATAACAAGTCTGAGCGGTTTATGGGTTAAGATCAAGTTAATCTGCCACAACAACAATGTCAAATCAGTGCCGCTGTTTGGTTCCAAGTGTTGGCCAGTCGATAGAGGGGGCGTGGAAAAGAGACAGTGGATGCCCTCTATAATGGATGCCACAGTCACATTCTAGCAAGACAAGAGCTTGAATAAAGAGATGAATGTTACTGCAAGGCAGCGGTGGAGATGAGTTTTAAATAGCAAGCAATGACCAAAGCCTTATGACCAACTGAGGACTAAAAGGAGTAATAAAGTTAGTCAGTATAGCTGGTTGGTTTCAGCTCATATGTTTCCACAGGGACAGACACACAGACTGTCAGTAATCCCTGTTTCTGGAACAGTGGCTTTCCTGTGAGCTCCATTCTGTCTCCAACAGAAAATCCAAGATTTCCCTGAATTCTGATTCAGCCGATCCAATTAACTCACTAATTCTGGATCACCCCCATATGTTACTGCTTTTCCATACATTGAATTGTTGTCTAATTCAACTGTATTAACGGATCTGTCGATCAATGTGTGAGTGACAGCATCCAGCTTTAGTTCTTTAGGTCTTGAATTTTGATGGTGGGGCTACCATTTCATTTACATTTGGATCACGGGTCGCGCCTCTACAGCTCATTGCGCAGGCAGTTTGACTGGCATGCATCAGTGTGTGTTAACTGAAGTGAGAAAGAGGGAGAGTTTATGAGCCATTTATATTGTGGATTGTGTAGCGAGATGAGCCTTGTGCCTCTGGTTAGCAGCAGTGAAGGATCGCGTGTCACTATGTTAGACGGCAGACCTCTCTGTCTCTATATACTTGCCTTGGGACACACACAGTCATATATGAGAACATATGCGCGCACACACACACACACAGGAACCTTGGCTAAGACAACATAACAGCTGCAGTGCAGACATGATGGTGGCGACACGCAGCCATCCTTGTAATCCCTCTAGGCAAAGAGAGAATGGTAGCCATTGTGTGTGTGTGTGTGTACATTCCTCTCAGTTTTAATGTCTGATTTCAACCTGCCATGAAAACTGTCATTTGAGCACATCTGTGCCTAACTAAATTTCATCCGGCAACATCAGCACGTTAAACGCACACCCCATCCTGACCACCCAGCTCAGTCGGCCTCATCCAAACTCTCCAGACCCTCTTTCACTTCTGTCTCGCTTTTCTCTCTCATCAATTAAACTCACATTGTTATAGACACTTAGCCGGCAGGAAATCATAGAAATATATTTGCTGAGAGAGCAGAGCAACAAGGCCAAGAAAACAGTCTGAGGGCTCAGTACTGAGGGGTTAGTCAGGGCTGAGGAGACAGTCTCCTTTTGAAACAGCTGGGCCTGCTTATCTCCTGCTGGAAAAGCTAGTCCAAGAAAATTTGCAGGGGCAATATATGGTGTGCTATAGAGCTAAGAAAGGTATAAATGTGTGTGACTGTGTGTGTGTCTTGCCAATGCTTCCTGAGGGAACTGCATTTTAAGAGCGTGGAGACATTATGCTAGTATTGTGTGCCTTCTTGTCTCTTTACACTAAGATTTTCAGCCATTACTATAAACTACTTAGTCTGGCTATAAAACTTTGTTTTGTTTTGGACTGGATTCATTGTTTTTATTGCACCTGAAATGAAGATAAGCCAAATGTGCATTGTCTGCACTATTGCAAGCGGCAAGAGAATCCTGAATCGTGCATTTTATAGTGCGCTAAGGGCAGTGAAAAACTATTCTTGTACATAAGATTCTGTTATTCTTTTCAGAAAGGTCACTTAAAGGTCTGATAGTTTGTCTTGACTATAAATATACTGTCATAGAAACATCCTCTGTCAGAAGAAAATCATGTACACAGACAAGACTCCTAAAACCTTTCAAAAGCCCACTTAAAATGTTAATTCTGTGACTGAAAGCACTTAACGTTTAAGCACCAGCAGAAACACAAAAAAAAATCAACGATTAAGAACGTCTCCCAGAAGCCAAAACATTAACTTAGAGCTACACTCTTGAAGGCACAATCAGCAGAAAATGGGTGCATGAAATTACAGGGATAATAGTTAACAACCAGTTGGAGACTGACAAACTCGCTCTCTGTGCTGCGAAGGGACACTGGGAGACAGCTCCCTAAACGTACAGTCTTTATATGTGTGTGCGTGTGTGTTAAAGTAAATATGTTTGGAGGTAAAGGATGACAAGAAATAAGTAAGGAAATGTAATAATTTACTTTAAGTTTAGTCATTGTGGGCCTGGGGCCTCCAACAAAGGGGGGCTCTGTGGTCATCTCCTGGCCTTCTTCTTGCTCCAGTAGGCTACTTGGGTTGTCCTCCGCTGATGGCCCTGGAAGGCTGGACACTGGAACTCGGGGGACAGAAAGAACCATTCCACAGGCCTCGGCTGCCTGAAGCACCCTAGGTACCTCCTGAACCCGTCTGTACCAACGCAGCAGGTGGGGGAGCTGAAGTAGAGTGCTCACAGCGTGGGTTTGAAGGGAAAGCTATCAAAAGACAACAGAAAGAATGACAGAGAAAAGAAAAAGAAAAAACAAGCAGATATTGATTAAGTGACTCATCTGGCATGTCATCTCCAGTGGAGCGAGATGTCAGGTTCCAGCAGAATTCACTCATCACACTGGTGGACAGACAGACACAAGGGGGCCCGGCAGGGGAAAACATCAAAACAGCGTTGGCAGGTGGGGAGGGTAAAGACACAAACAGAGACATGATCAGAGGAGCAGTGTCACCGTGTGCGACTGTGTGTGGAAGACAGAAGAAAGAGAGAGAGGGTGGGGGGACACACAGACACAGAGAGGGAGAAAGGGGCACTCTGCAGCACGACAAGTGGGTGGAGTGGAAAGGATCCGTCGTAGCTCCATGTGTCGTGGACAGTGATGGCCGTTAAGAGGAGACACGCTAGGCTGAGTGTGAAACTGGAAACCACTGGAGCACAGCTGACTACTAAAAGCCTCATTGTGAGAAGTTCAGTTCATTCCCACAGTCGAGGAATAGTTGGAGGCAGTCGAAGGGTGAAATGGAGGTTGAGACCCACTTCAGTGCCTGACAGTGCAGCATTCCTGATCAATAACAATATACTATCGAACTAAAAAGCCGTGGTACTCTCTGGTCTCTGCTGCGGCTACTTTAATTGCTACCAACTGTACTTTTAAAATATGCAATCATTATATGTCATGAATATTCAGATACTGTTCGGGAGCTTTTTAAGTCTTGCAGATTTTTTTTTTCTTTTTTGGGAAGTTAAAGAGTTTTCAGGTCAACATAACAACCCACCAATTTTTGATCTGTTGCAGAGAGAAAACGTCCCCAAAGTAAAGTCATTGAAATGCATTTCAACCTGATGCATTTGAATAGAAACCCTCCCATACACTGTTATCACTCTTTGCCAGGTGGCTCTAGACCACCTTTGAGAGGAAAACCTGTGCCAAGTCTGATGCAGCGAGTCTTCTTAACTCTAATTTCTGCCTGGATGAATCTGAAAGGAGCTGGGTGTACTGCCCGCTCACCCTGACCACAGTGTCAAAACCATGAGTCATGCATAATTTGACAAGTCATCATAATAAAGACATTAAAAAAGCTCGCAATTGTATGTAAGCCAGCCTGAATGGCACCATCCATATGAGGTGACATCAGACCTAAGTCATGCGTGCTACTCTTTATGTTGAGAGACAATGGCTTGCATGGCTACACTTGATTGCTCCTGGCCCAATAATGGGTATTTTGTTTACAGTAAAGCTTGAAATGCTCACAGCATCTTAATGCATTGAAAGGCATTGATACTAAATGAGCATTTGACTTGTATTCACGGATCCAAATGAGGCTACAATTTAGGGCAGCAATAAGAGCAGGGTCCTTTGCCACAAGGGTTCATTACAGACAAACATAAATCATAAACTCCAAGGCCCTTACCAAGTACTGATAGATGCATGGCAGCAGCACCACATCAGTCAGAGTGAAGTACAGCCCTTCAGCAAACACGTGCTCCAGCGGAGGAAGGTCTGTGGTCTTCACTTTCCTGATCTCAGAGTTCTCTCTGGTGGCCAGAGTTGGAACTGAATCCACAGACAGCTTGGCCAAAGCCGCCCTGAGCTCGAGTCCATCACAGACCTGAGGTGACGCTCCAGGGTCGGACTCAGAGTCTGGGTTCCCTTGCCCTTCAGGGGACTTGTTTTTTCCATTCTGTCTCTGCTCTTGGAGTTTCTGTCTCCGTATTTTGTCATCATTGTGGACTTTGACTGGCTCTGCTAGCCTACGCTCTAGGGTGAGGATGGAGAGAGGCAGCTGTTGATATTGATTTTGGGGGTTTTTAAGGTGTTCTTCGACAGCAGAGGGAATGCCGATTTCACACAGTCTGGTCCACTTGCTCACCTGAGAGCCAGGAAAGAAAAGAATTTCAAGGTCAAGTGCAGCACTCAAAGACATCGGTTTACTGTTTATTATTGTGACTGTGTTTGTCTATATCAGTATAATGCTGCTGACACTGTGCCCACACCCTAATCAATATGCTGTTACAAAAAAAGTCCATTGACTCGTAAAATAAAAGTTCCTTTGGGCTGAAAACTTTTTAAAGCATGTGCAATAAGAGCTGTGTATCCGTTGAGGGCTTGACATTATATCAGCCAAGCAAACAGATACAAAACTGAGAACCACTGACAACTTAAACCCACAATCAACTAACAACAAGCAATTGTAATGCTTGACTTAAAAAGTCGCATTTTCCTAATGATCTCCTAGGAAGTTTCTTGTGAAGAACTATGTAGCTTGGCACCCAATTTTAGGAACAACTGGGACAAAGTTAGGAGGCAATCACCTGAGTTTTGTTGGATGTACTGAGTTTATAATGAGTTTTTCATTGAAATGCCTACAGCATTGAAATCCAACTAAATACTACTCAATTTTTCCATTTATTATTGGAAAGTTTATTATCCATATATGTTGACTTGTATGATTGCCTGTACACAAATGTTTACCTGCTTGCATGTTCAGCTAACCCAATGTGCATTGAAAAACTAGGTTGTATTAGCAATTAATCATAATCAATTCACTGGAATTGTATATATTGAAGACTGCCTCAATTTTCCCTATGTTTCTACCAAATGACAGGCTTTAGTCAGAATGTTCTGTGTCAGTTGCTTTCTAGGAAATTATAATAGTAAATGTGGAAGATAAACATGTTCAAACGTATTGTAAATCAATATGTGCACAATCTGGATTCACTGCACGATGCTGTTAAGATACTCCCGAGTACAACTGTACACACTGAGTGATGCTGAGTTAAAGGGCCAAAACTGGTGTGACTTTGCATAGGTGTCACAATAAACGTGTTCCTAATACCACAAGTGTTGCTGAAGTTCGTAATCTTTAAAGCTACCTTCGCCATGCACATTGCAAGTAGAAGTTGTAGCAGAAGAATCAGAATCAGAATCAGATTTATTGCCAGGTAGGTTTTTACACATACAAGGAGTTTGTCTTGGTGCAATGGTGCACGAAATATACAATCACACAAAAAATCACACAAGCAATAACTATCTTGCATGTACTTTGGTCATGTGTGTCCCTGCTTGCCACTAACCTCAGCACAGGCCTTCAGACAGGTCTTCTTGAATCCCAGCAGTGCCAACACATCCTTTCTGGAGGGCTCAGCCTCTAAGGTCTTGCTGATGATGTGTCTCAGGACTACTGCCAGCCCTGCCCTGCACAGCCTCCCAGTTTCATCCAGAACAGCAGGCAGACGGCAGCCCCTCACCAACTGGGGCAGGTCCTCCAACTGAATGACAGACAGCTCCAGAGCCTCTGGTAGCTGACTCTTCAGTGACTGGGAGCTGGCACGTTTGGTGAAGACCAGGAACACTTTGAAAGACTTGCACTCGCAGTAGGACAGGAGGAACAGGGCGATGGAGGTGTGCAGCGGAAGACGAGGCTCCTCATTTTGGAAACAGACTTGTAGGTATAGGGAGGGATGCTGCTGCTTCACCTCTGAGTGCTTCATGGTAAATACTGCTGTGAAGTAAAACACAAAACCTAAAAAACCTTCAGAAATGTGTTCAGGTGTCCTTTTAAAGATGGCAGCAACATCGAACCAGCGGTAAACACAAGCTCGGACCCGGCGTATAAAATGACGTTAACAGATACTTACAGATACTTACAGATACTTACAGATACTTTCGTAATGTAGACATGTACACCGGCAATTTCAATAAAACCACGTTGTTATGGTACACACTTCCTAGCTCAGTGCTGCTTCTTCTTTCCTTGCTCGAAGGCTAAGCTAAGCTCCACAGCGCCATCACCTGTACGCTATCGAAACCTCCGCTAATAGAAATATATATTAAAAATACTAACGTTAAATCTACATTAGTTTTAAATATATAAGAATCATACGTGATGAATATAGCCATTTCAATACTAAACGCAGAGCGTAAATATGTGTTATATTCTTGAATAGAACTCCGGACATAGGAACTAAAAGAAACAATTAAACAGAGTATTGAAAGGGAATGGCAAAGATTATGGGAAAATGAGACCAAGGGGAGACATTATTACTCTTTGCAGTCTCAGGTTAAAAAAGCCAGGCATTGTTATGGATCCAGAAGAGATTCTGTTAAAATCTGTAGGTTGAGACTTGGGCATTGTGGGTTGAATCAGTCTTTATATGTTATTGGAAAGCATCATAATGGGCTTTGTGAGTGTGGAAATTCTGAAACAGTTGAACATGTTTTATTGAAATGTAACAAATATACCAAAGGAGCATTTTATATAAGAGAGTATCAGATTTGGGAGTTCTGTCATTTTCAGTTAAATCTTTATTGGGTCAAAATGAGTAAGTAGTATTACAGTTCTTACACGATACAGGGCTGTATATGAACATGTGAAGCAGTAACATTATCCTTAGAGTGACTTCAATGGACAATAATTACTGTGCAATCTATTGCCCATGTGCAACTGCTGCTAGTATTTGTATTTGTGTTATTGTGTTATCTGTTGTTGTGGTTTTTTACTGTTTTTTCTCTTGTACAGTATTGTATTGTATTATATTATTTTTTCATACTATTACTGTTTTTATACTGTCTTTGTACTGTTTTTTTTTCTATCCACTTTGCTGCTGTAATATTGGAATTTCCCCATTGTGGGACTATTAAAGGAATATCTTAATCTCAATCTTAATTTCCTGAGGAGGGCAGTAATACGCCTAGAAGCGTCTAAACTGCCGGAAATCCATATGAAGAAGAAGAAGACTCCGGACACATTTGACGGTGACACAAGTTTGTAAGACGAAGGGAAAGCGTCCGTCCCGGTTGTCTGCTTCTTATTCTTCTGTAGGAAGTGTTGTTCCGACCGTTCATTCCTCACCAAAACCAAACCGAGGCAGAGTGTGAGGTAACGTAATCCAACTGGAAATGATAGTCTGCGGGTTAGTTTAATAACTGACAGCTGAAATGTTAACGGGGGTGTAACTTTAGCTACTGTGGGTCGCTTACTGTGCTCTGGGTTTCTGGTCCGGACTAGTAACGCCACACAGAAACCAAATTAACTCAGTGTTAGTGCGTGTGTTTCGTTGTGTTCACACGCAATAGGGACATTTAGGACTCAACCCCGAGGCGTATGTTAGTTCCGACCATCCCACCTAACGTTACGGAAAAAATTCCCACGAAGGAATAATAATATACACGGGACACCCTGATGTGAAAATGGAGTGAAGGATATTACCCTAGATGTAAATGAACCATCTGAGTGATGATGATGATCAACTTTTTAATGTCTTTCCGTCTCTACAGAGGTTTTCTCTCTGGCAGATTTCTCTCTATCTCTGTCCTCCTCTTTCCTGAATTTGTATTATATAATCATTATTGATAATTATCAGAGCAAATGTCTCACACAACCGTGATTACATGAGAGACACAACCCGGGTGGGAGTAGGCTGTTGAAGAAAATCAGAGATGTGGAAGGAATTCAAACCAAAATGTATTTAATGTTAACAGCCCAAATCTAGTATATTTATATATAATGAGCCTGAAGACTGTACAAGCGAGGAGGCTGCAGATACAAGAAACCCTCCCACTGTGGTACAATGTACTATCTGCTTCAGAGATAGTTAAGACTTTAAAAATACATTTTGTTTTTGGAATCAATGAAGTGTTTTACTTTACTCTGTCTTTATTTAATCCTGACACTAAAATGAAGCCAAATCAAATCAGTCCAAGTTAACACTGCAGTGTTTATATGGCGGCTTTTGTTTTGTTTTTTTTGTACGTAAAAAAAAGAAAAATCTGTAATTTGTGTAACCTAATGTGAGCGTAGCAGTGGTATCGGATAAAGTTGTAACTGTGAAACTGACAGTATTTTATGATTCCCAGTTTAAGCCATGGCTGGACCTGTAAGTCTGGAGTTGGATCCCATCTTCTTAAAGGGATTGAGCTACTTGCACTCCAAGAGTAAAGACTCTGCCGAGAAACTCAAAGCTTTACTAGATGAGTCCCTTTCAAGAGGAAGTGACTCATCTTACCGTTTGTTACAAAAAGTAAGGAGTTCAGCACAGATTTTTGTTTATGCTGTTTACTTACTATTTCCATTCCACTGGTATGTAATTTATGCAACAAAATGCTACGTATTCTATATTATCTTTGCGTGTCCTTAGGATATAGAGGTATCCAAAGGGTCTGTGCCAAAACTGAGCTTAAGTAAACAGGACTCCAAGTCCTCCTCAAGTTCCTCATCCTCCAGCAGCAGCAGTGGCAGCAGCAAATCCAGCTCTGAAAAGAGCAAGAAAGAGGCAGAGAAGAGACCCTCTGAGAAGGTATGGGATACAGTTTATAACTTTTGAATCAGAAGGAATTTAGTCTCATCCTTTTAGAAAGAACTTAAATCAGAACTTTAACTGTTTTTGACACGTCTTTACATGCAAAGGTGGACTAATTATCCAATATCATCCAACAGGAGAACATAAACCACATAAAAATATGTCATTGTCTTTTAGACTTCTTTCACCATTGCTTTGTGTTTCTTTGCTGCCTATTAACATTTGCTCTTTTCTTAAGTAGTACAGAATAAATGATGTGATGATCAAATGTAAAACTACATGAATATGTCTGATGATCAAGATGGCTGCAAGGAAAATGCAAACTCTTCTTTTTGTTTTGGTTCTCAAGTGTCTTACCTTCTTACCTACAGCCCTATATTGCAGAGCTGAATTCTCAGGCAAGAAAGGATAAGCAGATGCAAAAAGTTCAGGTTAGAATTGATTACATGATGAGGAAATTAAGTCCTGAGACACATGCATAACTTCATATAGGACAACAAAGAATACTGTTGTTACTTATGGCACTGATGTCACCATGCTTTGTCCAAACATACCTCTTTCTGTCTTACTAGCAGGTCCGGGTTGATTTGGGTGAGGTGGACCCTCCAAAAAAGCCTCGTTTGGAGAAACAGGAGAATCGTTCTTCTCCAATTACCGTTCAGACGAGCAAAGACCTTCTGCCCAATATAAACGACTACGATGAGACCAATGCTGATGACTTTGCAATGGAAATGGGCCTGGCTTGTGTGGTTTGCAGGTACATCTTAATTCTTAGTAAAATAAACAAAATGTAGTCCTTCTTTAATACATGAGCTTGTTGGTATGCATTCCAGTCTAATTATTAACATACATTCTACTTAATCTTTGAAATATTAAAAAGGTAAAGTTGGGTACTGGCCCAAAATGCATTTCCATTCTCATGTTGACTTTGCTATTATGTTTCTAATTCCCTAAGACAAATGACAGTGAGCATGGGAAACCAGTTGGTTGAGTGCCAGGAGTGCCATAATCTGTACCACCAGGACTGTCACAAGCCCCAAGTGACAGACAAAGAAGTCAATGATCCACGGCTGGTGTGGTATTGTGCCCGCTGCACCCGACAAATGAAACGCATGGTGAGGAAGATAAATTATATTACAGTATCTACTTGGTGTGTATTTTTTGAATCAGCACATAGTCATGTTAATAGTTTCTTTGTCGGTATTGTTTCTCTTTAAAACTAACTCTAATTGTTTGTCCGCTAGGCCCAGAAACCTCCTCAGAAGCCATCCCCTGCATCCGCATCATCGGCGCCAGTTGTAAAAGACACACTGGTGAAAAAGACAGAGCTTAAGGCCAAGCCTGACACAACCAGCACCTTCCAAGCCTTCAAAAGAACAGAAGTGAAGGTATGTGTTGACTAATTGCGGCTGTATGCCAGTTTTAATTTATAGGGGGAGGTGATTTCTCCCGAATAGCTCAATCGCAAACAAACAGTTTTCCTATACACAATGTTATGTGCTCCTGTGTCACCCTGAAGTCAAGCAAAAACTAGGATTCTATATTGCAGAGTTATTACTGGTAGCAAGTGAGAGAAGAGCGATAGCTGTCAATTGGCAGAACTGCCCTAAAAGCCAGTCTACATAAATCCCTGCAGAGGCAAGTGAGCAGAAAGTATACATTTATTTTATAACAAGACTTTTAGATAATAATGCTTGGCTGGTGTTCCAGTATATTTCTCCAGAGGGAATGTGTTTAAAACTTTTCATGGTACTTCTGTTTATTGGAGTTCACCATGAAGTTATTTTGACAACAAACATGTTGCCTTGTTGTTGATTTGATTATGTTAATCCAATTCAGACCGGCAGATCTTTTTTTAGTTAAAGTATTGCTCAGGTGTGTGAGTTGAGGCATTGTATAGCCTGTAGGCTACTCAGCTGATTGACATATCTTGATAAATATGTATTTGCTCTACTACACAGTGATACGAAGATATTGGTGATATTGTTATTGTCAACAAATCCCATGGAAAGACCAAAAGCAACAATGCGTTAGTCTTTGAATACTTTCTGACTTCCCTGCAATGTCTTATGCACTCTTTAAAACAGGTCACAAATATATAATTACATTTTATTTTAAGGTTTTAGTTATTTCCAAAAATTATTTCCAGTGTTCTCCACTGGGGATAGCTTTAAATACAAAATCCATCATTAAAACTGATCTATGTCTCCATGTTGACCCTATATTGCATTTATGTGTTTCTTTTATTGTTTTATGGTGTATTCACAAATACGTGTCCAGCTAATTTTACTACATGTACAGAAACATTTTCATTGAAAGTAAAAAGTTGGCTGTAGAACATATTTCTTGGTAATTTATAACCTGAAATAGAACAATAGATAGGTATACCGAAGCTAAATTGCTTCATCAGTCCCATCAGGTAGTGCTGACTGGTTGCGCAGGTATGATATGTATCTAAAGTTGCATTTTTGTTCTTGCCTTTAGTGATTAATGAGCTTCAGTAAATAATAATACCTCACCTTACCTTATTTGTAAAGTGTCAGATACACCAATAGACCTAAACCAAAGGCTTTATCAAGTTAACCGCTTTGATAAACACTAAATTCATTTGTTGTTGTTTGACTCGAGAGATATATTTGTGTCTACTTAAGGTCTCAATCTTTTGAAATTTACGAATACAGTATGACAATGAAATCTTGGGATTGTTGAATTTGTATTGCACTGTGATAATTGTTGTAACTGTTTATCATGCCAGGCATCCACAACATCAGCCAATCCCACCAGCAGCAGCTCCTCCTCCTCAGGCAGTGGTCTTACAGGCTGGGCTGCATTTGGCGCCAAGACAAACCCATCTCTTCCTGCCAGCTCCAAGCTAGGTTCCTCAGGCCCAAGTGGGAGCCACAAGACCCTGACAACTCCCTCTGGCCAGAAGCCCGTCGGGCTGTCCGGGCTCGCAGGAGCCAAGTCGGGACTTGGGGGTGCAAAGATACCAGGGAGCGGCAACGGAAACGGCTCTAGCCAGGCGCCTCTGAAACCTCCTCCACCCCTGACTCTGGGTAAGCAGCCACTGAACCGTTCATCGAGCGGTGAAAGCCAAGGTAAAGGGTCTGCCTCATCGGGGGGCGGCTCCCCGAGCGGCTCCCAGGCAAGCGCAGGAGGCAACGGCAATAACGGCAACGGGAACAATGGGAATGGGTCAAAGGCTGCACCAGGGGACAAAGCACCAACATCCCAAGAGTCCCAGCTTAACGCCATGAAACGATTACAACTGGTTAAGAAGAAAGCTGCGCAGAAGAAACTGAAGAAATGAATAGAGGGAAACGCAGAGAGGGAGGAGGAGGTGTGAGGGAGTAGAAAATAAACACTTAACCCATATGGAATTAGTGCCAGAGGATTATGTTTGTATTACAAGAGCATCTGTACATGAGTAACACCATCCAGTCAAATACTTGAATCTTACTTTGTGTAATTGCTGCTGGACTCTGTGTGCCTCGTCCTGTCCTAACAAATCTATCCATTGAAAAAGTGTCACTTTTTACCAACAAATATCATTAAATCTCCTCTTATAAACTTGAAGTCACAATGACTTTGTAGTATGTGGTGTCCTTACATGTAAATCATTATATTCCGCAGGACAAATGGAGAATGGATGGAATGGATGTTTATTCATGACAGTATTGTTAAAATATAAATGACATAGATTTTCTTCATTTCACATTCACATAAAACATATACTTTATGTATTAATAATTTCACATATAACATTGACTTCATCTGTAAATCATTTCACATATAAAATTACCTTCATGGATAAATCACTTTATCAATATAAACTCAACAACACTGAAGTAGAAAAAGTGCTTAGCACAGTGCCCTGTATTTTCCTACCACTATTTATATTCATCACAGATTATTGGTTCCATTGGTGAGCTCTCTTGTTATGATCTTCTTAAGGCAAAGTAGATTCAACACATTCAACACTTTTGGTATGAGACCTCTGATAACATCCAGTGTAGTGCAATTTTGCAGAAATGTGACATGTTTTACATTCAGGAGTATTTCAATTATGTATTAAAGAGTAAGCAGGTTGGTTTAAAATGCCACATGTTGGTTTTGGGTCTGGTGTTCTTGACGGTTTGGAATTCTGGATGTCCTGTGGATAAATAGAGGGCCTCTATTTATGCATAGGACATCCTGCCAAGGTAGTTGGCAGGGACGTATCCCCTCTGTCCGTTTGACTCGGCTAACCACCAGTCTTTATTACCTCCCAGGTCTGAGAACTGGAGGATGCGGACATGCTGGTACTCCTGCAAGGTCAGCTCCTGGTCACAGCGTGCTTGAAATGCGTACACGGCATAAAACTGTGGAAACAAGTCACAAGTCTATGTTATCAGGGATAAAATAATTCTACAATTTGGGGAAAAAAAGACAACAGCATACAGTTCTTTTTGTTTGTTAGTGAAAACAAACTGAACAAAGAACTTTTTTGTCTCTGAAATGTTAAATGGCAAATCGTTACTTGCACATGATGAAATAATATTTAAGTGTATCCTCCTGTAAATCCAGAAGGTGGCACTGTTTGTTAGCTTTCCAAATAGAATGTCACCACCAGTCTTAATTTTCTTTGGTTACAATCTGTTGACCCTTGTCAACATTTCATATTTTAAGACCAATAACCGTGTCATGTTATGATGAAGATCAGAGTGGGTAGTCATAGTAGATGACAAACCACAGAAGTGTAGAAGCCAGAGTGACAGCCCCGTCATCATGTTATTCACCCCATTTAATTTCAATGCAAGCTAGACGGAGACACTGTAAAGCTGTCAAGTGCACTGTTACAACACTGGCAAAACTTCTGCTCATCCAGTATATAACTGCCCACCTCGGTTTTACTGGCCCTCTATAATAACAACCCTCATATTTTACAGGTGGAGGCTCATGTGAGGAGGCACTTAAGGCTGACTGAACACCCAGTTAAAGTTACATGGCTTGCTGAGCTGTAATTGTATTGTAATTATGAGCTTTATGTGGTGTGTGGTTTGTTGTTGTTTCTATTTTGCGCCTAATTTTTGCAAAATTTCTGATACTGCTTTGTTCATTTCAAATTGCTTTTCTTCCGCATATGCACATGCTGACCTGTAGTCTGTCTGCAACTGTTGATTTGGCACAACCTTTCAAAGGACATTAATCTTCTTGACCTTGACTGTTCTCAAGCTGAAACCCAAACTGAGCTGAACAAAGATTTATTAGATTTTTTTTTACCTGTCTCCCCAGTTCTAAGCACTGCAGTATATTAAAATGACATCCATATGGTGCAAGAACACACACCTGCTGAGCCTCGTTGTCCATTGTGTCCTCCAGGTCTTCAGGGCTCTCTGGCTCCCCCTGTAGTCCAGAGAGGGTTGAGCTGCTGTCGGTGGTGTTGAGGTTGAAGCTGCGCAGGCTGCTGCTGCCACTTCCCGACACAAACAGACTGAGGTCGTCAAAGTCCTCATCCACCATGGCAGGCGGCTGCTGCTGTGGCTGCTCTTTGACCATCTTGCCTGCCCTCTGGGAGTCCCTCAGAGGGTTGTACTGCTTCAGGAATGTGGAGTAGACGTAGCCCTGTGTACCTAACAGTGACACGAAGGGACAGTTTGTCAGGATAGTGTTATTTAGTCATGCGGATAGTTTTAATTTATCCAGGTTTCCACAGTAAATTGGTTGTTTGTGGTGCTAAAAACTCTGAAATAGACCGCACAGCATCAGTTACTCCAGTTAATCCACAGAACCTATACAAACTATTTCTTTAGAAGAAATTTGGCCCTGTAAAAACTCTTCTCTGTGAGGTCTGTGGATTATCCAGAGTAACCAGGATGAGGAGGAGTTTTTTAAATGTATTTATTTAAACCTACTACAAGGAGTGTTTAACTTGTTACATAACAGTCTCAATTTAGAACTGATGCCTCAATATGATCTACATAAGCACACAAGACCATCAGCGAGAAGAGTGACTATTTCTATGTAGTTCTTAATGCCTGCCACCAGGTCAGATTCTCCTTGACATCAATGCAACAAGGCGGTACAAACACTTCCATTTTTGTCCACAGGGGCTGCCAGAATCAACAAAAAATGAAAGCTCCTTGTTGCTGCTTTAAGCACTATAATTAATAATCCACTCACATCATATATCTCAGAGACAGACAACAAAACCTAAGCAATAAAACTAAATTATTTTGTAATTTGGGTGAATTGACCTTTTAAATGTCTAACAGTAAGTAAGCATAAGCTCGAGCATTTGCTTACACAATCTTAAATGTTAGCGAACTGAAGAATGTGTAAATATGAGGCAAGCATATTCATAGTGTTGATATCAACAGAAGAAATAACAACTTCCCGGGAATGCTTGTAATCCCAGAGGGAAAGACAAGTCTGTGAAGAAATGTACTTCGCACCAGGAAACATACACACACTATTTTTTCTATAGCTCATGAAAAAAGTACTTGTTATTGCAGAGTACAGAGAGGCATGCAAGCAGCATCTCTCCGTCCTTGTTTCTGAATACCCACAGGGAGAGGCTTTGTACTCTAAGTAACACTGCTTACAACGCGCAGCGGTTTGTTCCAAACAAGACACTGGGATCTCAGGTGCCTCTGCAAGACGTATAGGGGAGATGGAGACAAGCTATGGAGTTGGCCCTGTTGTGAGGCAACCATCTCCAGAGGCAGCCAAAGAGGTACCAGCAACCATGACATCACAGGAGCCCTTGGGACCGATTCTTGTGTGTTGACTGACTGTCAGTGTCAGAAAGTAAAGTTTGGTGTGTTTGCACAGCTTCAGTCATCTAATAGATGCAGGTGTATTCACAGAGGAATGTGTATGAAAGAGAGACCTACACCGACCATACCTGCAGATGATCTAGTGTGATAACTTAATTCACCTTGTGTCTCTTACAAACAGAATGTGCCAAGAGCTATCTCTGCCCTGTGGGTCTTTGTCCTTACACACACACACACAAACACACACTTGCCTCCAGTGTGAACCAGCCAGCGGCTGCTGCTGCCTAATGGGTCTGTGTCCTCCAGCAGGGCCACCAGCTCTCCCTCCAGCAGGCTAAGGTCCTGCTCCTGGCAGCCATTGCACTTCCTCTTAAGCTGGTACAGACGGCTCAGTGGGTGTTCTGCCAGCAGCCAGGCGCGCTGTTCTTCAGTTTGATGCTGCACCTCTGGCATCTGGGGGAAGGCAAAGCACAAAGGTTTGTTGGTGTAATTATTTGAAGTGGGTCTGGTATGTGGGCACATGTGGGCATGTTGTTGGTTATCAGTGTACGAGGGTATTCCAGGGAGGGTGAAAGATAATAAGCCCCTGGTGGTAGGAGTTTCAAATAAATCTATAAAAGATCTAAATATATACACACATATATATGTATAGGTGCACATGCGTATGTGTACACCTACACACGTAGTCTCGGGGGATTGATACCTGGTGGAGCTTTGGGTTGTCAAGTGCCCCAGTTAATCACAGCCTGGAGCTGTTCTCTGTGTCTACTATTGATAAGACTTGCAGCTGCTCATTCATGGCTTGGAATTGGCTCAAAACATTTTGAAAGGAATATGTGGGACTTTTGTTTTAACCTGGAGTCAATGAGAAGTCTACAGATGCTTACACAGCTTACCAGGAATATAAATTGTACAGATTGCAAGCTGTGGTGTGCATTTTAGTCTCTAGATGTAAATAATCTATTCTAAATTATTTATATTTTCTTACCGCTAGTTTCTTGTCTCGTTGCCTCTCAAAGCTGACTTTTCGCTCCATTAACTTCTGTGCGTTATCCTTGACAAAAGTCAGATTGTTCAGCTCATCCATGATGCTGTTCTGCACTTCAGCAATGTTTGACAATGGAGCCTGAAAGAGCAACCATGACACATTTTAGTTTCAATATTAAAATGTATTAATTATGATTGTAATTATGATGTGATTTATGTGTGGGATGCTCACTGGTAGCTGCTGTATGGATGGGGAAGATAGCAGTATTTTATCCATCAGCCCTCTGAGCAGGGCCACTAAATACACCACACAGTTGGTCAGGATGGTATAGGCGGCCATGTTGAATCTCTGCAACTCCTCTACCAGTAAGGCATTGAGAGCTTCGTAGTCCCTCCTGGCAGGACCAGGCGGTTCTTCTGACACCAGTGAAGGAGAGGAGGCAGTGGTGGAAGACGAGGATGAGGATGAGAAAGAAGAAGAGCGCTCCAGGCGACTACAGTAATCTAGCAATTTGTCATAACGCTTCTGGATGAGCTTCTGCGGGGCTGTGAACATGCCTTGCAGGGAGGAGAGGGGGGATAGGACCAAGCACTCCATACTGTCTTTCTGAAGGAAGAAATCAATTAGGTGGCAAAAGATGAATATATATATATATATATATATGATATTGGTCTACCAAAGTATTCTCCATTATGAACTCAGGTACTTTTAGTTTACTTCTGTGTGTTTTAGGTATGATCTATTAAATGTCTTGTTTTCAGTATGCTGCAGTGTCTCTAATTTGCAACAATTTTCTGCAAGGGGAAGAAGTAAAGTACACTTTAATAGTT